GATTAAATGAGAACTATTTAACTATTTTTAGTTATTTTATTTTTTTATCAGTTCTTAATATGTGGAAAGRCAGTAAAGTTTCTACTTGGAAGATTAAGGCAAAGGGTCTGTTTCTGCTAACCACTGACTGTGCAATCAGGGGGACGCGACTGTACACAGTAATTACAATATTGTTACCATATTTACCATAACATTGACAGTCTGTGCTCTACAACTTCACTTTGCACATGGGTGATTAATTATCTATTTAATATGAACAGAGAATGTGTGTAAAATACTTGGAAGTTGCAGGACAGGGAGATCCAGTAATCAAATTAAAGCTGCATTACACAAACTGATATTTTATAGCCTTTCTAGTTCTGCAGTCCTTTAGAATCAATGAAGTGTTTTTCAAAATTAACAATATTTTTAGAAGCAGTTTCTGTTAGAGGTATACTGTTAAAATGCAGCTTTACTGTTTTGCCACATTGTCCAAAGTTTACAGTGTAATCTTAACTTGCTATTTAAGGGCAAATTTGTAGATATATTTTTGGTTTTAGGATGTTTTGGTGTTTTTTTTGTTTATTGTTGTTTTGCTTTCGTTTGTTTTTTTTTTATATTTTTTTTTACTTCTCAAATAAAAGAATAGCACTTCGTAAAACTGAAAGGATGTATTCTGTGAAACATGTAAACAGCAAATTCAGTTTATCAGTTGAATTTATTTTCATTTAATTGATGTACAARTGACATAATTATATATGACTCCAAGTTATCTTTTCTTGACAAACGAAAGTGTCTTAAGTGCTTGTTTGATTAAGACCTGAGGTACAATACAGGATTCCTCTTGGCTCATACTGTTTTTGCTGAAGATTTTAGGATACTGTTTTTAGAAACTTGCACACACTTCTGTTTTTTTTAAAATATTAAGGTTGCTGCTGTTTTTGTACCTCATTTGTAGATAAATGTTTCCTCATAGTCTAATGTTTCATTTTTGGCAAGCCATTAAAACATCAAGAATGTTGTCTTGTATAATGAGTAGAGCATAATATAGGAAGAAAATCATAACAGAGGAACTGTGGCAAGCTTAAGAATATTTTCTCAGTTTCTTCATTTTTGTGAGAAGCTGAATCTCGATAATCTTTGTAGCTAAATGCATCTGTGTTAAACATTTAAAATAGGTAGTACTCAAGGGAAAACTGATTGGAGCTTAAAACTTGTACAAATTGACAGCCTTTCTTCACTCCATTTTTCATCCTAAAGAAGTCTGCAAATATTCTTAGCTCACATCATTATTGCTCATCAGTGATTCTAATTAGCTAAACAGGAGTTTGTCTCAGTCATTGATCATCATCAGCTTCTTGACAGTGCCTGAATTTTTTCCCCCCATATTCCAGTGGATTTTTAAAAATACATTTTAAATACATAACARCTCAATGAATAAAGTTGTTTGAATTTTTTTTTTTTCAAAATTTGTTACTCTTTTAAAAAATAATTCCTATCAAGTCTCATTTTAAGGTGTGACAGAAGGTCCAAATATGATATGTAAGTTCCAGTCAGATTAACTACTTTGGGTATCTCTGGGGAGCCATCCTGTAACAAGCATGGGAAAACATCCTATGCCATCAGGAGAAACTGCTGATAAAGTTGCATATGAGGTTGCAATTTATGCTTTAGGCTTCTGACAACTTCCATTGTGTGCCTAACTTCTAATTATTAGAACATTTTTCTTTAGCTGTGGTGGTTACTTGTGAAACTGTTTTTGTGGACATTAGCACAGCAYGTGGTATCTAGAGTGCCTGAAAGAAAACATCAAAAAGGCAAAAAAAATTAAATTTGTTAAAATTTTTCTCACTCGCAATGATGATGATAGATCTGTGTTTGTAAACTATGTTCTTTGATATCTTTGTTTTACAAAGCACTGGATAGAAAGAAAATGCTGCATTTAATTAGAAATGCACTTTGAACTGTTGGCTAGTGTGCACCTCTGTTACAGGTACATTTTTCTAATAGTCATCTGGGGTTTTTTTCTCTCCTGTCCCATATTTTCTTCTATGAACCCCTTTTGAGAGCATGTCCTAATGTCAGAGGGTTCCACAGATTCTCAGCTACCAATAATAAATTAGAATTAGGTGTGCATACTTCAGAACAGTTTGTTCTTTTACTTGGCTCTTGGTTTCCTTATTCACATTTTTCCTGTTGTCTCCTTAAAAGAAATTTAAAAAATTACACACACCCCCCAAATGTAAAATTATTTATAGAAAATCTACTTAGCTTACCAGGTTTTCAGGTCAATTAATGCATTAGAAAACAAGTTTAATAATAATTTTCATGTGATAATTGCATAGTTGAGTTGGAGGCTAGCTAATTATACATTTTTTGTGCCTTGATTGTGTCTTGTTTTATGAAAGGCTGTAAAAGAGGAGATGATGATTGGAGTTGGCAATATTGTGGGTCATAGACATAAGGTCAGGATACTTCTGAGGGCTGGAGGCAGTGCTATTCAGTGGTTCATGGGCCTTGTGTTTGTGTGTGTTATTAATGGTATGATTTTTTCTGTATCTGCACCTCACTCTTCTAAGTAYTTTGTAGTAAAGACCTGCTTTTTTTGTTTTCTGAAGCTGTTGGGATATTAGATCAACTAGTTGTATGTGTGTTTAATTTTAAATTTTTAGGTTGTCTAGTTGTAATTAAGACCTGAGGAAACTTTTAATGTAACATWTCTTACAGTTTAGACATAGATCAGTATAGGTCTATCACTTCCTTAGATTATGATGTAGCATGCTAATGGGAGACTCATACCTTCCTCCCCAAATATTTGAGGTTTGTTTAGTGCAACTATTGTCTTTTGGAAAGAGTGATTGTTGATAGCCATTTAGAAACCCACAGCAAAATAATTATGTATGAAGAAGCATTAATATTTCTATATTGGAACAGTTTTTGTTTCATTTAAGCTGGGGAATAATGTCTGGTATTTGTCATGAACCGTATGTCTCCTTCAGGACCATGGATAAATTTTTGGGTTAAGTATTATATAAATAAACTATTCAGACATTTTTGCTTAATAACTCCTGTTCTTTGAGGTTGTCTAATGTCTTCTAGAACAAAGTTTTGTGTACTCACAAGAAAGTTTTTTACCATTTTTTAAAACATGGCTGACAATATGACTTTGGTTAGCTAGATATGTGTTATAAACAAGGTAAATCACTGCATAACTTTTGGAATGCACCAAATAATTTCATATTTGCATGATTTTCTGTAATTGCAGCCTACGTAGTTTTATTCATGTAGGTGGTCAGAGATAAACTGTTAAAATTKTCTGTACTATTTCTTTTACTGCTTATGTATTCCTAGCAACTTATCATGACAATTGCTTGATTCTCATTGCAGGTGATCAGATGCTTTGAGGTCACTRTCTGATGTTCATTTTTCTGTTATGTTTCTGTCTCAGTTAAAATGTTACATACCTTTCAGAAACCAACTGTCTTTTAGAATACTAGTTGAATATTCATTATCTGACTTTTCTCATTACAGTGTTATTTTCTTTATGGAGTAGATTTTTTTTTTAATGCTATACATCTGTCCAAGACTGCTTCCCATGCTTTCTTATTTTTCCTAAGATAAATGTAACTTAAATGCATACCTTTTCAGGTAGGTTTTTCTTAGTTCTCTCCAAGTCCTACAGCRTATCAGTGCTGCTATAATTGCAATAAGAGTGAGCTGTTTAGAGTTACAATGCCTTGAGACCTGAATTTCCAAAATCCTCACTTTAAATTCCATGTAATTTTTCTTTAATTCTTAGTTTTCACAAGATTAGACTAGGTATTTTAGCAGTCATAAAACTTTATTAAAAACCCACATATTGAATGGCCTGTTATTACAGTGTAGTTTAATCTTTAAAATCGCTGGTAACATTAGACTACACAGTAATATCTAACAGTGGAGAAAAGTAATTCTCCATGTATTTACTATCCTTATTGGCTGCTGTTAGAAAATACTTTGGCAGATTAAGCCTTTTGTGTACAGCTGGATATTTTCATCCACTTTAAATCACATTTACAGACTCGTGTACTGGTTTTTCATTCCCTTCCAGCTCTGAAACATTCCTTATTTGGTAAAGGAAGAGTTGCTCAAGTAGGATTGTCTGGCTTCCATAGGTAGCTGATATCAACCATGATGAAAGTTTTAACTGTATTGTGAGAACAGGGATAATCTGAAAGAGTTTTTACTTCTTTCACCTGTGATGCTGGGATTGCCTGAAATATTTGGATATTTTTGGGGAATAAACCCTTTGGATATCCTTACAGTTGCAACATTTGTTTTCTTTCTGCCTAAAACAGAAAGTGGTAAGGGCATCAATATTTGAAACTCAGTTAAGAAATAAGGTGGCAGTGAGATGAGGTACTTTTTTTAACAAAGCATTAATGACTCATCAGGTGGCATTGTACAAAGTATTGCAGGGATGGTAATAGCTGTGGACTTTTTAACACCATAGAGTAGCTGTGCTCCTCCTTATTCAAGCTTCTGGGTTTTTTTTTTTTTTTTTTTTTTTTTTTTCTGCTGATAAACATTACAGATGCTGTCCCTGTGGAAGGTAGTAAAATAATTGTCTATAATATTTGAAAGTGTTGTTTCAGATAGAAAACTGCCATGCAATTAAGAGAAGGACTTCACAAACCCAACTATGATTTCACATTGCTAAGGAGGGACAAAATCATTTTGCCCATTCTATGTTCAAATACACTTTCTGCATTTGAGAAAGAATGAGATAATTTCAGCTGTTTTCAAAGCATTAAGACCGTTTACTTCGATTTCTTTTTGAACAAAGTTGCGTTACATGTTTACAGATGTAATTTGCTGTCACTTGCCATATGCTCCCTGATTAATTCTTCAGGGCCTGTCAGCTTCAGATAATTTAATTTTCTGTGCTTTAAAATGACATTCATTATCAGGACATGAAAAATTCAAATGATTAACTGCAAATTATGACTAATAAAGTGTCTATATTTTTTGCTTGTTTCCAGAGAAAAACAGAAAGCTGAAGTCAAGGACAGAAAAATTTTAGAGATTTTGCAAACCAAAGACAGCAAGATAGAAACTCTAGAACAGGTTTGTTTTATGTTTAAATTCAGCAGTTACGAAAACTTGTCATTGACATCACATTTGTATTTCTTAAAATGAGAAATAGTTTGCTATTGTGTTTTAAGAGGAAAGTTGCAGGTGATTCATAGATTATAACTTTCTGCTAAAGTATTATTTAAACTCCTCTGATTAGTACAAACAGTTGATCTGTTACCTAAAAAACTCCTATAATTTTAGATTAAACTTCTGAACAATCTTGTCAGTTTATTGCCCCATTTTACACTATGGCTAGCCTAAACTTGTGTTTAAGTCTAAAAGACTATGTTTAAGTTTGCAATGTGCCCATGCACATCTTGGTAAGATTTGCCGTCCTGAGAAGTACAAAAAAATCAACCTGATGCACCTTCTGCCTGACAAGAAACACCAGTGAACTTGGGGGGGTTTCTCCTTTTATTTATTATGTATTCAATTCCTATTTAAACAAATATATAGAAAACATACGTATGATATATAGTATATTATATACTATAGATACATTATATTTTATTATATAGAAGTTTATTATAGGGACTATATAACGTATAATATTTGTAGTATATTATCAGTACCCCATATTTAATCTATAAAAAATGTAATATATTAGTTATAAAAAATGTATTACATTGCATATAATATGTAGATCTATGAAAGATGTAATTATCTATAAAATAATGCGATAAAATAAAATACCGTTTATTATTAAATAAACTTTTATATTACAGCAGTGGCTGAAGTTTCAATGTGTTGTCACATCCTMATGGCTATAGGTGTAATGTGTTTGGTACATGCACATGCATCATTTTTAGAAGCCAGMAATATATGATTATTCCTGCATTTCTATCATGTCCTTACCTGTGAAGTTGTTTATAGGAATATGTATGCAGTAGTGTGCTTTTAAGAAAGCTGCCTGCTGTGGCAGTGTGTGAACCTGAGGTGTGTCTGAACCATGAGATTGCTCTCTATGATTTCAGATCAATTTCAGAAGCTGAAACTCTAATTGATCAGAAATCTGAAATTGATGGTATTATGCATTTGCATCATCCACATGGAGATGGAGAGAGGCTGGTAAGTGTAACTAGAACCATGRAAAACTGGTATGCCTGAAAGAAGAGACTATGAACAGAATGGTAAAACCTTGGATGTACWTACAAACTTGGGAATGAGAGGCCAGAGAGTAGCCCCACAAGAAATGTGAGATCCTTGCTGACAGAAAATTGAATGTGAGTCATTGTGCCCTGGCAGCCAGGAGGGCCAAGCGTGTCCTGGGGGGCATCAGGCACAGCATCACAGCCGGGCACGGGAGGGGCTCTGCTCTGACCTGGGGCGGCCTCACCTCCAGTGCTGGGGGCAACTTTGGGGGACACAATAGAAGAGAGATATAAAGCTGTTAGTGAGTGGCCAAAGGAGACCTGTGAATATGGTGAAGGGCCTCGAGGGAAAGCCCTCTTGAGAGGAAGCCAGGAGTGACTGAGATTACTTGACTTGTTTGGTCTGGAAAAGAGGAGACTGAGGGGAGACCTGATTGTGGTTTATGACTTCCTCATAAAGGGGAMGAGGCGGGGCAGACACTGATCTCCTCCCTCTGTTGGCTGGTGACAGGACCCAAGGGATTGGCCTGGAGTTGTCAGAGCAGGTTTGGGTTAGATATCAGGAAAGGTTCTCCACCCTGAGGGTGACTGGRCACTAGAACAGACTCCCCTGGTAAGTGGCCATTGTACCAAGYGTGCCAGAGTTCAAGAAGCTTTTGGGCAATGCTCTCAGGCACAGGGTGTTATTCTGGAGGTTGTCCTATGCAGGGCCAGGAGTGGGCCTTCATGATGCTTGTGAGTTGCTTCCAAATCAGGATACTCAGTGATTTGGTGATTCTAACAGATGAGGAGAACAGAAGCTGTTTTGATGATTGTCACAACACTAATGCRTCCCCTACAATTAGCTTCCTTTAGAGTCAGTATCTTTGACTTGGGGGGATGGGGGGYGAGCGGGGGCGGGTTGTGAAGGGGATCAGATGGTGCCAGTGCTGTGTATAAAATCAGCGTACAGAGGTGCTGTCATTTTGACCTTGTTTCCTTCATTGGCTGGGATGCTAGTGGGTTGAAACAAGGGAGGGTTTGTTGCTTTAGCATGTGGTTTCAATGATTTGGTATCAAAGAAAGGAGCTGGCTTAAAAAAACAATGTTTTACTGGATGTGTTCTTTCTTCCTTCATCTAAGGAAAAGATACTGTTTATTTAATTACCATGCAAATAGATTGCTTGTGAAAACATGCATTTTGACAATAGTGGTAATGAATGTTCTTTTCTGTGAAGTACAGGCAAAAAGCCTTCAAGGCTGTGTATTGCAATCTGCTACTTTGTTACGTCTAGGAAGTTGAGATTAGCCAGTCATGTGTTCTATTGTTTTTCTGTTCCCCTTCGTGTATCGTACAGAGATACCAGTTGCAACATAATTTGTTGTAGGGTTTATATACTAGGAATTTCCAAGCAGCCATGAAAAAGCTTGTATGAAAGCCATGAAAAAGATTGTATAAATCACTGTTGAGTAAGGGGAAGAAGGAAAATAAGTGTGCTATGTCATAATTCGACATAAATGTARGCTTATATTACTTGTAGAAATAACAGCAAAACTAAAAGAAGAACATACGATCGTATTTCTTGTCTTGCATTATGCTTAGACTTCGTCCTGACATGCCTAAGAGGACTTCTGAAATTACTATAAATGAGAGAGCATATTCTTCTCAGCCTAGATGAGATAGATCCATGTAGTTAGTTTGTACTGAAAGCTGAATGAGCTTAATTTGTAAGGAGGTATTTCAAGTATTAGAATTGTTTCTATTTTAATGGCTGTCACTGAAAATTGAGTAAAATAATGAATTTGGAAACTTATGATTGGGAAGTTATATGTTGTTTAATGTGTTTATATAACCTAATAGGGAAGAAAAGTGCTCAGGTGCTCATGAGGATGGGACTTGTGGCTTTAAGGATAAAAAAACCTGTAAATCATAATTTTTCAAAACTTTTGCCATCCAATGTCTTTGGAATAGAGTATATGCATTGAACTTGTGATTACTTAGTACAAGTTCAGCTTTTCACACATCCTAAATTACAGTGGTCTAATCTTCAGTTGTATATACATGRATAAAACTTTTTTCTGATCATAAGTTTCTTTCAGAACTTCATATTGTGTTAAATATTTTAAATATGAGTTACTATGGAACATTTAAAGATGTGCTATTTAAAGGTTCAAATAGATTTGTTAAAGCATTTAAGATTATTCTCCTCTATTATAGYGCATAAATTCAGTACAGAATGTATTGTACTTGAGTTTTCCATTGTACTTTTCCCTTTTTCCTTGCTTCTTTTAACTGGTAACTTTTTCTGTTTTATTGGTAACTTTTGGCCCTGATAGTCACAATTGGGCCTTGTCTGGCATAGATATACTTATTCTAAATGCTGTGCAGTAAAAATATTATTCCTTTGGGATTAGAGTCTAGATTGCTATACTGATATTTTTAYCATTATTTTTGTTTTATGCAGTATCTCAAAACCCTTTTCTCACCAGTTATGTATCCCTGACATACATGCATSGCTTCTCTGTTTGTTACAAGGAAAATAATTTCTAACTGCTACATTTAAGTGACTAGAACACTCTCTTATATTTTTAATTATTCTTCTTCCCAAGACTCATAGATACTTTGCTGCAGAAATCTTTCCTTTCTTCCTTTTATTTGGAAACATTTTTAACCTGCTGTTTTTAATTTTTTGATAATTGTATGTATCTCAAGCAGATCACTGATGCTGATTTTTCCTTAAAAAGTAAGCTGAGGCTTCTGGAGGAATGTATGAAATTTTTAAATTCAACCAATTAGTTTAGCAGATAATGCTGGAGCAGGGAACAGTCTTCTGCCAGTCATGCAATAGATAAATTAGAATATCTTAACCTGTTTTCTTTAGACAGTGTCATTAAAGACATGTAAAAATAGCAGTAAACCTTTTCTTATAACATTGTTAATTAATTAGGTTTCAATTTTGATCTGGAGGAACTAAAGCTAATCTTTTTGTCCTAGACCTTGTAACATTTCAAAACCTTATCAACTGATTATACTCTAGAGGGGTTAAAATAGTACTAGCTTGCCTCATTATCTGCTCTTGAAAATCTTCAGCTTGCTGTGCAAATCTATATTAAAGCCCCKTTAATAGGTCCAATTGAAAGAAGCATAATTCTACCTTCAAGCATTAATTAACACTGATAAATTTTTCTTAACTTTTGTACCTTCACCTGATTGTGTTTTTCTTTGTAATAAAATACTTTTATTAAATTAAGACAAATGTATACAGACATTATGACCATCTAAACACTTTATTTTCAGTAGCATAAAAGCTTGATTATTCTTGTGTAATGAGGGACATGAGGATAATTTTGGTAATAAGGAGTTCAGATGAATGTGTCAGCAGTGTTGAGATTCTGCGGATTTTCTAAACTCTTAGCAAAAAAAAGTTTGTCCGGTGAATAAGATTTGTAGATACTGCTATCAAAGCATGRCTAAGGGGACACTGGCACAATTTTTTTTTTCTTCAAAATAAGTGACTCAAGTTGTATATTGGAAAAGGAATCAACTGTCAGTGGTGAAACCTGTGTTTTATGCAGCACCTTTTGAACTGTCATGTTTTTTGCTTTTCTGCTTGGCATCTTCTAGTTTGTTKCTTCCTAAAATTAAAGAAAGGAAACATTGTTAAGGAGCTGATCTCAGTGAGAAAGATGGAAAGAAAAATATAGAAAGAGTTGAAAATTGCTGATTTTGGTGTATTGATAGAATGCTACCTGAGTAAGTAGTATGATGGCTATGGCTAATACCTGTGGGCTTGTTTGACTGAAGAAATGAATAAGCTAAATTACCGTATACCTTTACAGCTCATTAGTATTTTTGTATGAATTCCCAGTAGGAATGCATTTTCTACCAGTTGAAAATATGTTTCTGAGAGGTAAGCTACT